TCCCTTCTGTCCACCTGGCAGAAGTTTTTTCAACCTGTGCCGTCTCCCCTGCCACCATTCCCCTTGCAGCAAATTGGGCAGTGAGGAAGGTAGAGGTGACATCTGAGATCTGTTGAGACCAGATGTCACAGACCAGTGGGGGAGATCACAGTAGAGGAGTGCTGCTCATTAAATTCCACCTTAGAGAGAACAGCTTCAGGGTACACCTGCTCTTCTAGCATCAATTCTGCAAGGTGTAAGTACCTCCTCACACCCCTGCTACCTGCAGCTGGTGGCAGCTTAATACCACGTTAACTACAGCCGTACCAGTGTCCCTTATCTCCTGGAAACTGAACACCAGTTTCAGTCCAGACAGAATAGTAGCTATTCTGATGTCCCTCAACGCAGCTGTTAGTTGCACTGAGGCTGGTCTGACCACACTAAGTTGATTCTTTAATTTGCAACCACATATGAGAAGTTTTGCCACTTCCCAGACACATTTAAGAAGCGAGTCAGTAAGAACACCTTCTTCGTGCTGGTGCGAGTGGTGGATGAGCTGTGGTGAGTTGTCTTCTTCGATTCAGGGTGGGAGAAGCGGGGTCAGTAACAATACAGAAGTCTGGCAGTTAGGAGGACGTGTCATTTAATCCTCGTCTATGATGACAGCTGAAATCCTCTACCCTGACCAGTGAGACACCTATAATGCTGAACCCTCTTGTTCAGCAGGTTCTCGCTGTGTCCCATCTCTGTCGGTGATTTTAAAATAACTAGCAAAAGGGGAATCTGTAAGACAGGAAGATCTGGGAAGGGGAGGAATTTCAGTGACTTGGTTCTGCTTGTGGGAAAGAGCAACAAGACTCAGTACAGATACAGACTCTGTAGCTCAGAGTCGTAGCTCTGATGCCTTCCCTGGGTTTTCCATCTTTCTCTCAGCTTAGTGGAGCTGACGGAGGAAATTCTCAAGCTGCTGATGGACCTGGTCTTCCGACTGGTCTGCAACGGGGAGCTGAGCCTCGCCAGAGTGTTACGCAAGAATATCCTTGATAAAGTGGATCAGAAGAAAATGCTGAGCTACGCCAATTCCATTAAACCTCTTGCAGCCCGTGGGGTGGCAGCCAGGTGAGGAAAGATGCACATAACCATATTGTGGTCCTTTGAGAGACAGGGCATCCCTTTCTTGTGGACACAAGAGTTTTCTCAGTCCAAAATATAAGAAAGAGGAAAAAACAGGTCACGTTTTCTGAGCCTTTATACTTCACCCTTGTTTCTTACAGGCCAGGAACCCTGCACGATTTCCACAGTCATGAAATAGCCGAGCAGCTGACCCTCCTAGATGCTGAACTCTTCTATAAAATTGAGGTACAGAGATGAGAATGGGGTAAGGGCGGCGGGAGGGATTTGAACATGTACCCTCTGCAATCTCTGGTATTCCCTGCCAGCTCTCCGAGCACACCTGCTGCGTTGTAGGAGACAGCTGAACTTGTGTCAGCAAATGGCTGTGAACACAGACTGCGGCTGGGAATCTTGAGGCAGAAATCCCATTTTAATGTGTGGTATTTTCCCACCCCTCTCCTCTTCTTCCTTGGCAGATCCCAGAAGTTTTGCTTTGGGCAAAGGAGCAAAATGAAGAGAAGAGTCCCAACCTGACACAGTTCACAGAGCACTTTAATAACATGTCCTACTGGTAAGGAGCTCAGAACAACCATGGCACTGAACTGTGCTTAACCTCCAGTGCCCTGCAAATATGCAAAATATTCCTTGCAGAATGGGGCTCCCTTGTTACAAGTGGGATAACGTGTATTTTTGGCCAGGAAGTAGATGCAGGGCACTCATCAAAGACCCCAGAGCACACGAGAAGGAAAACCAGGAGGGTGGTGGAGGGCACTGTAACCCGGAGGCGTTATTGTCAGTACCATTGAGCCCTTCAACCAACCATTCCCCTTTCCAATAAATGCACTCTGTGAAGGGTTATTGTGGTCATCCTTGAAATTATTCTGTCTTTGTTGTGAATTAGAGTGCTCCATTTCAGTTGGAGGTATCAGGAACTTTCTTGTGTTGTTGGCCCATCCTTATCAGTTACCAGTTTTTTAAATGAAACAAGAAGAAACCTGAGATCTGCTTAAATGGGTTTATCTTTTTTTTTTCTGTCTGTTCTTCCAGGGTCCGTTCAATAATTATGCTACAAGAGAAAGCCCAAGACCGAGAGAGGCTGCTCCTTAAATTTATAAAGATTATGAAGGTATCAGCTTGGTTCTTGCTGTGAATCACACACGCTGCTCCTTAAAGGAGCAGGGGAGTGGGACCTTCTGGTTGGTAGAGCTGTTTGGTGCTAGAAGGCTTTTCAGATCTCTGGAGTAACTGGAATATTCTCCCTCTTCACAGCACTTACGAAAGCTGAATAATTTTAATTCCTATCTGGCCATTCTTTCTGCACTGGATTCTGCACCCATCCGAAGGCTGGAGTGGCAGAAGCAAACCTCAGAGGTGAGGAGCAGCGAGGGCTGTCATCTTCAGGGGAAAAAGATAACTCTTGTGCTATGAAACAGCTGGGTGGTTTTAACAGCTCAGCAACGTCCCAGGGTGGAGGGATGGTGGATAACCGCTCTCCAGTGTGTATAATGCCACAGTGCTGGAAGCCTGCAGCGTGGCTGGGCATTCTGACAGCTGCAGGAGTGCCAGTGCAGTCACGGGTGAGAACAGCCTCCTCCTCCTCCTCCTCCTCCTCCTCCCTGCAAATTGAAGGCTTGGTGAGGCTGAAGGCAGTGAGGCTCTGTGTATACGTGCTTGGGATCAGGCTGAGTAAATCAGTTGGAGGTGTTTGCAGGATGGCATTAGCTCCTTGGCCTGCGTGGCTCTCTGGGTAGAGGTTACAAAGAAAATGGGTTTGCAGCAGCGGTGTCACCATGGGCTTTGTGTTCTGCCAGGGCCTGGCTGAGTACTGCACACTGATTGACAGCTCCTCGTCCTTCCGCGCCTACCGAGCAGCTCTGGCCGATGTGGAGCCTCCCTGCATACCTTACCTGTGAGTTGGTAGTTTCTTTCCTCTGCTGTTACCTCTGCATGTTCAAATGGTTCCTTCAAGGATTTATCAGCAGCTTCTGCTCAGCTCAGCACTTGCCTTTTGCCCTACATCTAGAGTAAGATGGCAGTGTGCCACGTCAACCCACACACCCTCTCTGGAGCAATTTGTCCTGTAGCAGAGGAAAGCAGGGTGACAGCTGTCTTTTTGTAAAGAAGGTTTTTGTGAATTGACTGTGGCAAGGGAAAGATCAAGTGCCTAGATCTTTAGTTGAAGCTTTTTAACTATATTTTCTTCGGGGTCTGTGTGCAGAAAGACAAATTTTCCCATGAGGTGCAATGGATCCCACAGTTTCAGGCTGCTGACTGCAAGAGCTGATAAATGAGGAGTCTGCCTTGTCGAACATGCTGCTTCATCCTGTTTCCAGATGAAAGGTTGAAGCTGTTGCCCTTCTCCGTAAGGGCCTTCTGATCTAGATTCCAGATTTGCACTGGGTTTATACCAGTAAAACCCATCCTGGTCTCACTTTCTTCCATGGAAAGAGTTCTGTAGGAGGAGGTTGCATGGGTACATGCCATCTCATCTGGCAGGGGACCACAGCAGGACTGTGCAGGGACATGGCTGAGCCGGGGAGGCACAGGGAGGAAGGGAGCACAGATCCCCCTTGCTAGCAAAACCTCAAGTTGAGGGAAACCCTCTCGGATAAAACTGGAAGGAAGGTTTAACCCCTGGCAGGCACTTCCCATTGTGACCTTCTTCCAGCCTGGTCCTCCTTTCCATGGAGGGTGAAAGAGCAACCCCAGCGCCATTAGCGTGACCATGAGCGCCTCGCCTCAGAGGTCCCTCAGCCACAGCTGAGGTGGGCACCTTGCACCTGAACACCTTTGGATCTGCTGCCGGGGGGGACGTTCCCCTCTCGTTTTAAGTTGCAGTGCTGATGGTGGCAGCAGCGGGAGGCTGTTAGATTGCCTGTGGCTGCCTTCTGGCTGGCCGTCCTGCCCCTGCGTGACTAACCTCTGTACTTGTTTGCCTACTCCCTCGCCTGCGGCCCCTTTCTCTCTTTCAGAGGCCTGATTCTGCAGGACCTGACCTTTGTTCATCTGGGAAACCCTGATTACATTGACAACAAAGTGAACTTTTCCAAGCGCTGGCAGCAGTTTAACATCCTGGACAGCATGAGGTGCTTCCAACAAGTGTAAGTGTAGCAATAGGGACGTCAGAGCTGGCTTCGAGGCACCGTGATGGGGATTGGGGAGGGGGTCGTGAGGGGGGCACGGGAGCTCCTGTGGAAGGGGAAGGGAGTCTGAGGTCAAAGCATCATGATGGAGATGTAAGGAGACCTGGGAACGGCAGGTCTCTGGTCACAGTCTCCTTCCCTCTCTAGGTTAGCTATGACTAAAAGTTGTGAAGACCTTTTTCCTGTATTAGTTCTGAGATCCAGTGCAGTAAAGTTTTGTCACTACTCTCTTTCAGTCAACAGTTTTTCCTTCAGGCTTTGCTGTTGCTCGTTCCTATGTTCTCTAGGTCATGGAGGGTTTTCTTCAATGCTGTCTTGCAGCAGAGGCAGCAGATCTAGCTGTTGATTTCAGTGCGATAGGGTCTTTTGTCTTTTTCCCCCAATTCAGCGATGGGCATGATGGTTTTTCCCCTTTTTTGGTGTCACACCACAGTCAGGAGTATTGGGCTCAGGTAATGCAGACCCCACAGCGCTGGATGTCCCTTAGAGCAGGGCAGGGGTGGCTCGAAGTTGGGAGAGGTCCCCAGGTAGCCCCTTGTTTAACTGCCACCCTACTCTGTGGTTTTCCAGACATTACGACATCAAAAGAAACGACGACATAGTGTCATTCTTCAACGATTTCAGCGACCACCTGGCTGAGGAGGCCTTGTGGGAACTGTCCCTCAAAATCAAACCTCGGAACATTACGAGGCGGAAAACAGACCGAGAAGAGAAAACCTAGGAGGAGGGGTTGTGCGAGCGAGGAGAATTGCTCCACAGACGCACCGAGGGCAGCTATGAGACTGGAGTTCAATGTTTGTACCTGCTACTGGATGACGCACCCTCCCTCCCAGCTGGCAGCCATCCCTGGGCGTGCGAATGTTGGGCTCTCGCAGCAGGCAAGAAGCGACCGCGCGCGTCAGCCACGAAGGGCAGAGATCAGCCGGTGCTCGCTGCACTCGCCCTCCTTCTCCTCCCGTCCCTCTGTGCCATGAATCAGCTTTAAACCCGGGGAGAGAGCTTTGTGGAAGGAGGGTCCCATGCAAGCGTGTTGCTGGTTTGCTGGCCGATTGCATCCGGGCGTACCCGGGCTTTTGTTTTCATCCCCAAAGGAGGGTCAGCAAGAGCTCAGCACCCACAAACTAGTCTCCGGCGCTGGG